AATGATGATGATGATGATGATGACATGCCGTAGCCTCATTAGGGACACAACCTAAAAAAGAAAGTGTGCTTTGTTAAAACAACTCAGAACGTTGTTGTGCTAAACAAGTTTATACAAAATCCAGCCAATATGGCCCTCGATCCCATTAGGACCTTGCACCTTATGCTGGATGGGTCCAGGACCTTCTTAAATTGCATCAGCACAACGATTTTGCCAAAATAATGTGTTCATTCATGATCCTAGGTGCTCCCGTTCAAAAGTTATGTTTTTGCTCTATCAAATGGGGGTTATCTTGGATTTCTGGATCAAAATGATGCCATAGCGTCAAACTGATGTCGGAATCGGAATCCTCATGGTCGACTTACCTGAAAAAGTGTCTTCATACATGATTCTGGGTGCTCTGGTTCAAAAGTTAATTTTTCAAGATGGCGCTGGCGGCCATCTTGGATTTGGCCCCCTAGCGAAAAATGCCGGGATTTTTGGGAGGGACCGGGGGGCTAATTTCTTTATAAATGGTCCATAGAAGTCAAATCCATCGTCAAACCATCCTAGCCAGAGAATGGTCACGGAACTTATGTTTTGGACCCTACTATTTGTGGGAATGTAATTCGCATGGTATACATACAAGAGGTATGAAAAGTCTGCAGGAAGAAAAGGTATCCCATTTACTCGCATAGTGAAATTCTACTTCCCTGCTTGGAGCAAAGCCTCAAGGCTGGATTATACTTTGATAAGATTGTACGCTGATACTTTCAGAGATGTACACTGTACAATGAAGTGAGATGACTATTCTTTTGATGCTGAGGATCAGGAATCTTCTTATAGATCTACAAGCAAGCCACAATGCAATCAAGCTCTCAGTAATTCGTGTACTGAGGCAATTTCCTGAAATGAGAGTAAAGTACCGGTACATGGCTGAAAAAAAAAATGCATGAATCTCAAGTGAGTTCTTGATGTTGATCGTAAGAAAATAACAGCAGACCGCATGGTGCATTTACAGGCCTACCAGTACATCATTTCTATCTCTGCATACAATGTATGTAACATACGGTACTTATAATTTCAAGAACACGTCCATTCACTGTCAATCATAATAGTTGTGCCAACAATTTATGTCACGGGCCTATACCCATTTTTGTGGCGCATTGTAATGCTTTTTGAGCGGGTTGTCTTTTTTTGGATTGATGTCAGAACTCTCTAACCATAAATTGAAATAATTGCTGTCAGAACAAAAAATTGTCACAAAAATCTGCAGGGGGGGGGGCAAAGTGCCCCCTCTGCCCCCCCCCCCCCCCCCCATGGATACGCCACTGGTGTGCCATGAATGCCAACTTTGCAAAGACAGTAGGCCTATATACAAAGAAGTAACCGGTAGTTGCTTTACATTGTAATATTAACCCACAAGTCTGGATACATTGATGCAGCCTAAAATAGAATGCAGATTTGATGCCTCGTTTCTAACGGATGCTTTATCATGTACATGTAGACAGGTTTACAGGTCACCTGGAAACAAAATGCAGGATTTCCTTGATACTAAATTCTGATTAACATTTGACCATGGCTGTTGTTTTTTTCTGACAGCTTGGCAATCCTTCACAAATCGACACAAATAATGAGCTGTCCTGGTCATTGCATATTTTGCAATGTTTTAATTCTACCACCAGCTACCGGTACTCAGAAAGGACGTGTACACACTTTAATATCAACATTGGGTTTTTTTCCTGAAAAATATCTAGTATTGAGGAACATAGATATTATGTAAATGTGCCCAAAATGTAGGCCAAGTAAAATGCTGCATTTAAATCACTGTACCACAATAATGTGGACATGTGGACAGATTCCCCCCCCCCCCTAAGTTTTTAACCCTATTTAACCCTTTTTAACCCCCCCCCCCCCTCTTTAGGCTCGGAACTATCCTCAACCACCACCATGTAAAATTTGGATTCAGCCTCAATCCTCCAAAATCATTTGTTACTTCTTGAAGTTGTTCAGTGGAGGGGTGGCCATTGCCTTAATCATTCAAAATCCTCCAACAATCTTCTGTAATGGGTTGAGCATTCAGAAGCAGTGCAGAAGGTGACTGCTCTATGTTCCGACACCCCTATGTTCCGACAACCTAGATTGTGTTACTCCCGGTTAGGGTTAGGGTTAGGGTTAGGAATAGGAATATGTGCAGTCGGAACATACCGGTAGGGGTGTCGGAACACAGAGGTGTAACCGTGCAGATAATATCGAGCATAATGCAGGGCTCAAAATATGCATGACTGAACGTAAACAATGCTGGCTACTGCAGCAGTAAAATGGTTAGTCAAGTACCAATTTCTCACAAAAATTACTCCTAAACAGGGATCTGGTATGCGCTGTCATGCAATGTCTACAGTAGGCTTACAATGTGAATATTTTATTATTAAATGTAGCCTACTATGTAAAGGATCAACCGCCAAACGTGTAGTCATCCCTGAATCACTTGAGGTTTTACCAATTAGGTTTCATTCATCAGTTCATCATTCATGGTCTGGATGACTCATCAGGGTTGATACAGATAGGCATACATGTACAGTATGTATGCACTCAGTAGGAGTTCAAACTAGGCTCATACATTGTATACAGTCGGGTATCAGAATTATAGGGAAAATAATACTGTTTGAATTGATATCTAAACTTCTTGTAATATTTGACAAGTATACATACATGATGTATTACCCTACAGGTTTTTTTCTGTGATTTTTTTAAAATCACACTACAACAGTTTTTTGTGACGCCACTTCCTCAAATCTGCATTTAACTTAAAGGGAAGATACAACATAAGTTTGCAAACATCAAAAAATGAAATGATCAAATTATAACGAAATATCTTACTGGACTGTTAGTGAATTACAATCTAAAACATCCTGTAAAATCGTGGCTCCTGGTGTGTTGACATTTTCATGAAAACTTGTATTTTTCCTACGCTGGTCGGCCAACCATCGTTGGAGAAAACTGGCGTTTTTCAAAAACTGCTACTATTTTTTCATATTTAGTTATTCCGCATTTTCTTTGCAATTGCTTACACATCTGTGAAGGGGTACAAGCCTGCTAGACTTATTCTCTGACGTACCTTACAATCCTCAAAGTCTACAAATTGCAACGTCTCATCTTAGGTGGGGTCAGGGAACCAGACTACAAGAACATGGTTGGTTTTCTTTGATTTTCCAGCATCTCCAAACCCAAAACGTGAGACAAGCTCGTTTAACAATATTTTCTATAGCACACTAATCCTCCAAATCCATTTATTTCTGAAAATTGCAGCAAAAGCAAATGTTGTATATTCCTTTTATAATAATGCATGTATAATTGGCAATTCAAGCGTTATGAAAGGCAGTGTACGCTGAGTGCGATATGGACTGTGGACTACATGTATTTAAGGTATAATTAATATATTGTAGAATGGTAATGATGGTTTGTTGCCATTGATCGACCAATCATGATCGAGGAGCCAAGTTTGCTTGAAGATATTAATAAGGAAATACCCGGTATAGTGGTACCGGTACATGTAGATCAGGGCACCATCGTGTGCAACATCTTTCTTTATCATTATTGACTACATGTAGTCAATTACTTGAGGGCAATAATTTTCAATTGGGGCTCTGGGAAAGAAAAGAAAGTACTACATGTAGTTAACAATTTTAACATTTAACAAACTGATGACTTTTAGTTGATCGTTTTAGTTGATCATGTACATAGCTCAGGAATCTGTGACTAGAATAGTCAGTGTTTGCCCGGTAGTCCGGTACCAAGACGTTCACATAAAAGCGAATGTGAACTGGCCAGACTTGCATTCTCTCTAGTAGGCCCCCTATATTGTAATTTGTGTGTCATTTTTCCTTTTCTTTGGGCGACTCATGTTTATCGTCAAACAGCATATCATGCATTATTTGGGGAATGAATGAAAAACTTCTGAGGTACGTGTACATGTGATGCACTTTATAGTCGTAGCGTGAACTTCGGCGATCGTGTAGTGTAGGGCACCCGTTTTGTTTTGATCAAATTAGAATCAAATTTTTTTTTTTATTACTAAAAAATGAAATTGTCAACCTAAAAGCAGGCTTCTCTCAATGTAATGACACCTTTTTGGTAATTTTTGAACAGTTTCTTGGGGTAGAAATTACGATTTTCCTGCACGGTTTATGGGCCAGCTGGTGCAGTGCAGCGCGATTTCGTGCATGCTCACGGTACATCACGCAGTGATCGTCATCATTCGTGTTGCATTCTGTCATCATTGTCATTTTAGCCCCAAATGTCCCTAAAAAATTCAAAACCCTCCCTTACAAAAAAGTTCTATAGAATTCTATAAGAAAGAATTCTATAGAAATTCTATAAAGCATTCTATAGAATTTTGTCTATAGAAATTTTATAGAGTTTCTTTAGAAGTCTTCTATAAGGTTTTATGGAGATTTTATAGAGATTCTATAGAAAAATGGGCCATAATTCTATACAGCGGTTTATAGAATTTTATAGAAATTATACCTTTTCTATAGAACAATGAACAAAATTCTATAGAAATAAAGCTAGTTTTATTTAGAATATTCTATAGAACTCTATAGAAAATTTGGACTTTTTCTATGAAATATTTTATAGAACTCTATAGAATTTTATAGAGGTTTTCTCCAATTTCTATAAAAAATATTCTATAGAACTCTATAGAAGATTTGGAAGTTTTTCTATAAACTATTTTATAGAACTCTATAGAATTTTATTCAGAATTTCTGTAATTTCTATAAAAAATATTATATAGAACTCTATAGAAAATTTGGAACTTTTTCTATGAACTATTTTATAGAACTCTATAGAATTGTATAGAGGTTTCGAATTTCTCTAAAAACGTTTTATAGAACTCTATAGAAAATGTGTAGCTTGTTTTGCAACATTGTATAGACTATAGAACTCAATAAAGTTCTATAGAAGTTTGGCCCTTTTCTATAAGCTTCGCTTAATAGAATTATTTAGAAATATGATACATGTAGGTTTTTCTATAGAACATTTAATACAATTCTTGCAGACATTTTTACACATTTTCATTGAGAAAAATTTGGTTGAAAATTAATATAGATTTCTGTTAACTTCAAAATGTGACATTACCATGGCGTTACTCTTTATACTAAATAAAATCAGGAAAACAACCATGACACAATTACAGTTGGACAGACATATTCTGTTCTTTTTAAAAAAACAAATTCTTCTGAATTTACAAATTTGTGCATGTAGGGGATGAGCAGATATCTTTCCAGTGCAGTGTATTAAAATCAAAGGCACCAATAATGAACACAGTCTGTACAGTGTACACGGTTAATGTGGTGAAAAAAATAGCAGAAGTTGGGCAAAAAAACCAAAAAAAACCCCACATTTTTATATGAATTGTTTTCCTGAGAGAGATACTATAAATTTGGCAAGAAAGACACATGCATGAAAGACTTGTGATGGTTGCAACAATCCATGCCTATATTCAGTTTGTAAAACCATGCATAGAGCTTTATTGAAAGGCAATGGTATTCAGACACGTTTGACAACTAGAATTGGAAGTTTGAAGGAAAGTACTGATCGTAATTTCCAAGAGTCATTCTATCAAGCTGTGACATACCTGTATATCATTTGCATGTTCATGTGTGTATGTATGGAACAAACTTTATGATAATCTTTTTAAAAGTAATGTCCATTGTAGTTTCCGGAACTGACATCTTGTAGATTAGGATGATGATTCCAACTGCTTGTTAAGGATGCATGCCGCTGCCTCCAATTTGCAGAGCCGGGGCACAAGCAGTCAGACAGTCTTTGTCTTGTACATGCACATACTGCAGCTCATCTCAGTAGTTTTTGGTAGATCATATCCATGCATAGCGCAAAGGATCATGGAGACAGGTAGATGTAGAATTCTAGATGTATCATTTGAGGAAGTCTGCAGTGGGGAAAATGAATTGTTCATTTTGTAAATGATAATTTTTACAAAAAAAGTGTGATGTTAATGAAATTAATGTCCACTAACAAACATGGCCATGATGACCTAAGAATCTTATTCCTCAATGCTGTTCTTATTCAGAATCTTATTCCTCAAACATGTCAAGTCAGCTGATTCTTATTTGTTGATTCGACCCTATTTATATCTATTGATGCACCCCTTAGTTTAGTCATGGTGGAATACTTTCTCCATGGTTTAGGGAGGGAGTTTGGGCAGAAGTCGTCCCACTAACTGGGTCGCTATAACTCCTTTTTGACATTTGGGATGTTGGTCTGTCGTAGCTAAGTACGACAGACCAACATCCCAAATGTCAAAAAGGAGTTATAGCGACTCAGAACATGGGACGGGCAGAATTGACCCATATTAAACAAGCATGACAAGTTACATGTACTTTTGTAGTTCTTACAAATTGATGTTCTCTTGCAATTTTGCTGAGGAAGGAATCTGGTAATCACGAACTGTATTATACCGTCATGACTGAGACAACAACATTGACAGTTTGTTATAAAATATTGATATAATGTCACTATTCTATTCTGCAACAGTTTAAGGTGGTTTTAAATCAAATCTTCTAACTCACCAGTCACCATCGTTTTCACCCAGACCCTTCACGTCTTCCGTAATTCTAGCAGAGTAGTACAGCACCGTGCAAATCATGATCATCCGGAGATGTAGGCAACATTACACCATGGAGGCACACAGTTAAATCTCCATCAAATGTGTTTGCAAGAACAACAATTAATTCTTGAAAGTTTCCATAGGCATGCACTTTACTGCCAACATTCATGGTTTGAGCAATTTCATCTCAATCTTCTTGTACAAACAAGTACAATCATGACAATACATGTATTTTTTGTTTCCAGCAAACCCATTCCTCGATCCTTCTCACCATAGCTCCATGGTCCACTTTGGTCCAACTGACTGAATTCAAATCTGCTACACAGGCAGTTTCTGTTCTGGTACTGACTGGTATGCAAGGTCGTGTGTACATGTACATGCCGTGCATGGAACTTTATAAAACATGTTGGGTGAGACTGGTTACCAGCGGAAGGCAATACAAGTGGTTGTAACCTGACCTTGCTTTTAGCAGGTGGTCACTTCTCATTCTGGGTGTGGGGCTGGCCAGAGGGGGGGGGGGGGGGTAATTGGATTAGTGTGTAGCCTTCTGTTTATTCTAACTCCTAGTTTATCAGGTGCGTCTGGGGCGAGCTGCATAAGGAGGGGTATCCCGACTTGATGATTTTATTGCTATATGAAGTATGATATGTAATGTGATGTATGCTCTTTTTGAAGGATTACTTACAATAAAAATGCAGATAGAACTTGAGTTTCTTCTTTCACATTCTAAAACTAAATAATTATTTCTGTATGTGCTTGAATAGTTCCTTCCTCCATGAATAGTTGTAGTTGTAAAAAGAAAAATTTCCTGCATACGCTATGTTATATAGCATGGTTCAAGCTATGCAAATCATGAGTAGTAACTCAAGATCGTGAATACATTACATGTAGCATGAATGATTAACAAACAACCTCATTTCCTCGCTGGAAATGTATTGATGTATAGCTTCTATTTTTTTTTTTTTAATATTAAATGATAATCTTGTACTTTTTCATAGAAATATAGTTCTCATAGAATGTATGCTTCTCTATAGAAATTATACTTCTCTATAGAAATTATCCTTGTATAGAAGTACTTCTCTATAGAAATTATACCTTTTTATAGAAATTTGGGGTCTATAGAAAAAAATTGTTTTAGAAATCTATAGAATTCTATAGAGTAAACAATTCTATAGACTCCCTCTATAGAAATTCTATAGAGAATTGGCGAGCCTGTAGAGTTCTATAGAACTGTATAAAACGTTCTAAAGAATTCTATAGAACATTTTTGTAAGGGCTGTCCTTTATATGGTACCTGTACCGGGTAGGTCTATGTTCAGGATGTTCTTAATGTCGTCAACAACTAGTTTGTAGGTCAAATAATTTAAAAGTGGATTTTGTTCCCTTTATATATAGGAACTGGGCCTGTAGATACACGATCACTGAACTTTTTGCATTGTCAATGCAATGGCATGTCATTGTCAATACATAATGATCATAATGATTTCATTCAGTGGCAATGTTTAAAAAAAAATGCAAAAATTAAAAAAAAAGAAGGACTAAGGAGGTCTATAAATTATAATCAGAACATTCCTAATTCAGTTTCACTCTTTTTATTCGGTTGAGGTAAAATCTCAAGTATTACAACGTCAACGTCACTAGTTGTACGACCATGCGCACTGTGTACCACAGACCGTGTACACTGACTGACGGCCGGGGCCTAGTTTACCTCGCATTCGTACAGCTGCCGTAACTGCCCATCCATCCATTCTTCAATGTTGAGACGCAACCTCATCTGTTTTCTGTTGTATTTGGCTGTGACATGGATATTCCTCTTCTGTTTCTTCTCGTCCGGTACCTTAGCTTCCATAGACACCCTCCTCCCATCGATAGGGGGCTGGTGGGCCCTTCCCACGGGCGAGGTGGGCTCCAAAGATTGGGAAACTGTCGACCGCGATGCACCTGTTGTCGCCATTTTTATTGCATTTAATAACGCAAACGATTTGGTTTCCGGCCGGCTAAGTACACATGCGCGCGGCGCGCTGTGTGGATTGCCGGGTCGATGTCACGTTCAGCTAGCTCTATGCGTTCCATTAATCGGTATTTTGTGGCAACGGCTTTGGCTTTGCCATTCAATTGTTGTGTAGAATACAGCCATAGTCGTAGACAGCATAGAACAGCTGTAGTCGTAGACAAAAATGGTCTTTCAGTCAAGCATGAGAACCATGGCAAAACTTTGAGCCAGTAAAAACGTTGCGGGCGGGGCGTCTGAAATCATAAAACTGCGGACAGGAGGCCAGCGGTACGGTAACTGGGGGAAAGGGATGTGAACTTGTGGTGACGGGAAAGGAGAAACCTCAGGACCTTTTTAATAATATCACTATTTTTTTCTTAAGAATAAAAGCAGGAAAATGAACGCATCGATTTTCCCTTTCCATGCAGAGCACTTTCCCCAGCGAGTCACTTAGATTCCTTTCGCGGTTGATGGTAGTGTTGAGGCCAGGGGAAGGGGGATCTAAACTTGAGAGTCGCACATGAGTTGCATTTTTGAATATTTTGTCGAAAGATTTTGTAGGTAGTAAAGGTATTGGATAGAATTAGAATGCACTTTGCTTGTATACTTTGGATTATTGAGTGAAAATATTCCTTCGCGCCGATAAGGCACTAATTAAGTACACATTTAAAAAAACTTTTTTTTTTTTTTTTAAATAACATTGACATTTTTATCTAACATAAGATCTTCTGTTTTTCCTTGAGGGTTTGGGTCACTCTTGTCATGTATCATGGCAGGGCTAATTTTTTCCACGACCTTACAAATGCCGCTCAGCCGCAGTTTAATTCTTATCAAGAACACGATCAAGTCCTAATGTTCCCCACTCTGACTCTGACACCTTGCACAATAACTGGAGCGATAAGCGTAACAAGATTATTAGATGTTTAGCAATTTACAACCTCAGGCCGATTATCTCCAACAACTAATAATAAGCCGCCCGGCCCTTAATCGAGCCCTGGCCCTTGAGGACCCCAACTTTTGAAAGTACAATGTACACTTCCCTCAGTACCACAAATGGCCCAAAATTAAGGCTTCCATCGCCCGTCGGATTACAAAAACCACAAGCAATGCAAATATTTTCCCACTGCTGGTTCCATACACGTGTAGACATCAGGAGCAGACAATAAACAAACTGCAGCCATTGTTCGATGAAGCAAGTTCTTTTTTTACTACTGTGTGAAAGCATGATGGATGACTAGGTTCGATCAATGGGTCCGTTTCCCTCTTTAGATATACGCTGCCGCGCCTGGGATAGTACGAACACGGTGTTCTACAAACTTCGGTCTCTTTCACCTTGACTGCACTGCTGTCAACCTGTGTCAGAATTCTCATCCTTTTAAGTGCAAAGACATGCGCAGTACAGATAATGGATCTGTATTTCAGCGAGTCCAAACATAACTAAACACCAGATTTCACCACAAGTTGAAACCCTCCCCCCCCAAAAAAAAGTTGACCCCCCCCCCAAAAAAAAGGACGATGTGCAAACTGGATAAGTGTCCGAATTTAGGATCCAAAGTGTTACATTTTTTCCTGTCCCTGTTACCTTGGTACTTCGAAATTTACTATTCGAGTATCGAGTATCATTAAGAATGACTTCAAATGATTGTTTTATTTGTTGGGTAGGTAGTTTGCTATTTATAATCACTCTTTGATGACAAATGCGTGCTATTTCCAGTTTCACCACGAAAAATAGATTTTTTTTCTCAATTGCTCATTTCCTAGAAATATAAAAGTTATTCACTTTTGAAGGGACATCAAACCAAAAAATCCACCAACGCTCAGTTATTGAATTATTTCTTCAGGAAAAAAAAAATTATTGGCCAGACAGTTATTTGGCTCGCAAAGGGCAGGTTTATTTGTGGGTATAAAAATGAAATTCCCTTTTCAGAGTGCGGAAGATGCTAAAAACCAAAATTATGTAGATTTTTGGTTAAAACAAAGCGTACCAAATTGATAATTCGTATTTTGAAGAGCACAGGGTTTGCATCTTTAAGAAGTACATCAGAATTATATAAGATTAGCTGTCAGATGTCAGAAGGACAGCAACAAAAGTGGACCCCGAATTTATAGATTGATCCAACTGCCATTAGAGTGTACGCCAAAAAGAATATAAGTCGGTCATCTCGATATTGGTGTTTGAACATTGAATTACATTTTATTATTTGCACAAACCTTGTACACATTTGAAACAGAAATATCCCATTAACAAAAAACACTGCATGTAATATTATAAACAATTGACAATAAAAGGGACAGAAAAAGAAGTTTGTATATCTTTCCTGTATGCGGTTTCAGTATTGTTTTACAAAATGTGACATGTAAAGCTTTTTTTTACATGTGGGATATCAAAGCAATCAAACACCAGATATGAAAACAAGACTATAGCCATCAGATTATTGTCTTTGTAAAAATTAATGGCCAAATTCCTCCTTCAGTTGACATTTTCAGTTTTCACAGCCTCACCCTAAATTTGATATGAATGTGTTAACTCTTACTTTACATACTAAAAACTGAAAATTCATCTTCCGTAAATGCCTTTCAATTTTAAGTTGATGTTTTTTTGTTGTATTTGTCCGCGGATGAATGTTGGCCTCATATGAGTTAGATGGCGTACAAGGAAACCACAAAACTGTTTTAACGTGATAATGCTCTAGAAAAGTCTGTCTATTAAACCCTAAATTATAGTCGGTTAGACTCCAGATCCCAGAAACATTGAATAAAGCTACAATGCTCAGTGTCTCAAATTTACGGAAGCTTAAAGTGACCAACTGATTTTCTGTGTTTCCTTGATAACTATCTTGAAAAGATGGAATACTGAAAAAATGTTAGACATGTTTCCCTGATATCGTACCTCGGAAAGACGGCTTTCCCTAGTATCTTATCAAGGAAAGACGTTCTCTTGTTTACTGCTATTGAAATTTTAGCATATCCAAACTACATGTATTAATCTTTGAGTTATTAGAGAAGTTTTGAGATTATAGGTAAAGCCCCTCTGGTGTGCCTTCATTCTTGCGGTATAAGACATTCTCTTTAGACTTGCGGAAGTCTTCGTTGGTCACTTTCATGCGTCTCTCTCTCAGGGCCATCAGTCCTGCTTCCGTGCAGATAGCCTGACAAAAGAATTGAGTAAACATGCATATGTAGCGCTAGAATTGTAATTGTGTTAATAAGGGAATAAATGTGTGCTGGGGAGGTGTTAAACACTATGTTTATGACTGGTTGGAGTCTGGAATTGCCAAAGGTAATTATCAGCATTCCAGACTCCAACCAGGCTCCAAAAATAGTGTTTAATACCGACCAAGCACATATTTATTCCCATTCATAAATACCTTTTCAGTCAAAACATCTAAACTTTTCAGTCCAAAAGTCAAAACACGTCAAAAGTTAAAAATTCCAAAGATTTTGAAAATAAATTATATTTTATTTTCTGATTTTCGAAACAACCCTCTATAGCCTCATACTACGCGATGACTCGCAGATGCAGCTGAAGTGAGTGCATTGTGAATTTAGGACTATGAAATACTGACTCTCTGGCAGTATTGCACATGCCCACATGAGGATTGTGAACGTTCAACCAATAAAACAATAAAAAGGCACTGGATTTCATAGGAGCCCAAATTTCATGTGACACTGGAAAAGTGTTCAAGACCAGACAGCCATGTCTTTATCTTCTGTTTAAGACCGGCCACTTATGGGCTCTCAACCAATGGGAATGGATAAAGTGTCTTAGGTATTTATGAATAACAATTCAAATCATATGTGGCTTCACAAGTCAAATTTCAGGTCCGATCACAAATGACAGGATACATTGTGACTAGATGACTGTGAGCGACTTACGGGTGACTGGCAGCTAAGTTCTGGTGACTTATGACAACTCTGTTGTTTGTCACGTACCTTGGTTGAATAGAGATTTCATTTTGTGTGATAGTAGGCCCACAATGTGTAATCATTAACTGTGATACTAAAATAGTTTCATGTAAGTTACAACAGCTTTTCTGATGAGAAGTCGGCGACTGCTCTAAATGTGACACAGAAGGTTTAGTAGGTAAGTGTTATCTCTTGTTAGTGTAAGAGCGGTTTTTGTCCATGAATTACACATTATGGACTCTATAGACACAGAGGGTGGTGATGTGTGACACGTCCAAGATCTCCAGTGTATGTGCATTAGTTCATGAACATATGTGACCTGTTCTGTCAAAATCAGACTTTTCTGGGCATAAGGTCAAAAATGAGGTTTTTGCATATTGTTAAAATATGTACATTTTCCTTTTAAAAGAAGGTTAAATTTTTGAAATCTGTCATTCCTGGGCAAAGTTATGCTATTTTGAAGTTCATTGTGTCGAAAAGTAGAAAACGGAGAAAATGGCCACAAACACGATATCACGATATTACCTGATATACCTTAACAAACCATCAAAAATACTATATTTAGAGTTCACATTACAGTTTCAAACTTTTATAGTATATTTTAGACATGTTCAGGATTACAAATATGCAAAAATTAGAAAATTGAAAACAATCACCCCACAGCGTTTTTGGCCCTATCTCAATTTCAACCTCTGCCCAGAAGCGTCTGCTTTTGACAGAACAGGTCACATATGGGCTCTGTGCACCCTCAATGGTATAAGATAAGGAGAGTGGGAGGAGACCACTGAAAGAGACCTTCAAAGGCATCCAAAGGGCTCTTGGAAGTAGACCTTTCAGAGCAGCCTATACTGACATGTCCATTCAAGGAGGCCCACTTCAATGGCAAAAGCACTGTGCCGGCTAATATTCAGATAATCCATCATTGTTCGGGTAATCTGTAAATTGGCCATTGAAGGGGCCTGTGACAATACTAGTGTTGTGCAACCCCGACCCGAAACCGACTTAAAACCGACACCGTCTTCAGGTCGGGTCGGGTTGGGTCGGTTTGTCCATCATTTCAGTCGGTTTCAGTTTTGCGTTTGTGATTTTCAGGTCAGGTCGGGTTGGGTCGGTTAAGCCATTTTGAAAAAACGGAAATAAACCTAAAAAAGATAATAAAAAACTGAAAAAGTTCGGAAATCCACACGGTGCAATATTTATTGCAGAGTCACTGTGCCCAGTACGACCAAAATGACTTGCGGTCTATCACGCACGGTCTATAACATGTAGGCCCACCAGCAGGCCACCAGTGAGTGCCGTACGGTATGATTCAGTTACTGAGAGACGATGATTTTCACGCGACGACGGTAAGTTCATGCACAAAATGCGGACACAGGTGCCCAAGCCAGATATTCAGGTTTGTTTTCGATTGGTTTGATGTCAGGTCGGTTTTCATTACACTTTTGTCGGGTCGGCTTTAGGGAGTTCAGATCGGTTTCGGTTCGGATTTGGTTTATATCTATAACGTTTCGGGTCAGTTTGGCCTGGTCAACCCGACCAGATGCACAACACTAGCGTGAACAGTAATAGCGTGCTCAGATTGGTCTATAGACTATACATGACTAATTGGCTGTAGGTTTATGATTATCCCCCAGTAATGGCGGAAGCACTTCGCCAACTATTGTACAATAACTGACATAATGCATCTGCCATTGGTAAGGACCATTGGGAGAGAACAGCGATTCTGGACTCTGTTGGTCTTTTTGATTCTCGTTAAGCCCGGTTCATACTTCTCGCGAAAGCGAAGCAAAATTTGTGACGTCAACAATACACTCAAAGCGCGTCCACCATTGTTGACGACATGAATTTCGCTTCGCACATGCTTTCGCGTATGTACCAGGCTTTAGGAATTGTGCCTGATAACCAAATGTACTGAATGATAGCAGTTTAATAAGGTCTGCATAAATCTAAGCTCCTACCTTGATGTCAGCACCAGAGAGGTCATCTTTAGCCATGATGTACTCGTCTAGATTGACATCAGTGGACAGTGTCATTCGACTGGTGTGGATGTTGAAGATGCGACGTTTAGTCTTCTCGTCCGGCAGGGGAAACTCAATCTTCCGATCGATACGACCTGGTATAGACAAGCATAAATAACATCCACATTAATGAAGAAATGGCAACAGCTATGAGGATGATGTAGTGTAGATCAGAAAGGTTTTGAGAAACTTGGCAGAAGTGCTTACTTAATAGGTTAGTTTACTGTATGATTATAGCTCACGTGAAATTGTCCTTACATAAGGTTGCTGTACAATCTTTATAATCAACAACTAATGACAGCTGTGATGTGTTATATGGCGTTTTTAACAACCAAGGGGCGTATAGCACCCGAGGTGCAGCCACAGGTGCTATGCACCGTGAGGGAGTTAAAAACACCATATCACATAGTGGAGGCATCTTTATTGTCCACAACATTTTCCTGTTAACGTTGGCATCATTGAACTCAGGCTAATTACCATTAACCATCTTTAGGGCAATGTGCAGCGTTAGGGCAATGTTTGCGCGTGCGTACTACACCCGTCAGACAGTTCCACGATTGCTTCGTAAAGCACGTATGCGTAGTAGACCGTGCGACAGTCTACTACGCATGCGTATTTTACCCTGTGCGTGAATACTCGCGCGCACGCTTGGCAAACAGCAAAAATAGCATCTGGCACGTGATGGTGAACGGACCAGTGAGGATTCGGCTTTCGATCATGAATATGTATGAGGTATAGTAATGCTTGTTGTTGCCTTACCTGGTCTGATGAGAGCAGGGTCCAGGGTTTCTATGCGGTTTGTAGCCATGATGACCTTGACGTCCCCTCGCGAGTCAAACCCATCCAACTGATTCAGAAGCTCAAGCATAGTACGCTGGATCTCACGCTCACCGCCAGAGTTGGACTCGTACCTGGGAACAGTGACAGATGAATGTGTACACATGTTTAACTTACAGCGAAATGGGTGATTTTTAATACTTGCTTGGAATGGAAAGATTCAGGATTTTTGCAATCCAGGCACAGGGCAACTCAACGGTTCAGCCATCACATGATGGAGCCCTGTTGTCCAATGGTTACCGTGTTCGACTCACGTGCCGTGGTGCGTGGGTTCGAACCCTGATGGGGAACATGGTGCTTGTGTTCTTGGGCAAGACACTTTACTACAACTGCCTCTCTCCACCCAGGAGGATAAATGGGTACCTGTGAAGGTAGAGACCAGAATGCGCTGATCTCGAGCTGCTTCAAAAACTGGTCCGATGGCCTGATGAACAGGGGTAATAATTGTGAAGAGCTTTGAGAACTTTGGTATAAAGCGCTATATAAGCACCAGATTATTATTAATATTATGATAACAGAATCTGTGTTGGACCCGTTTTGAAACCTGAGATTCACGTTACTCCTATCAAACAGGCTGGAATCCTACATGGCTTCTATGTACACAGGTCCAACACTCTGCAAGGGTAAAATTCATCGCTGGTCTGGATCATGGTTGAGAGACTCTATTAGTGCAGAAAATTAGGAAAAAAAAATTGCTGACCGAGAATAAAACAAAAATGTCAGGTGTCAAGCGGCAATGCGGTCAGGGGAAGTTTTGTGCAAGCAGTCAAAAGGTGTGAATGTGTGAAGACTATTAAATTCGGCAACAGCCATTTTCTTCAGTGACACCAGGCTTGCGCAAGTCGCGCTCATGTAGTACGCAGGCACTCCAGGCTCCTTCGACCAATAGGGTTACCAAGATGCTCGTGAGCGTGGCACCACCGCAAAAACGGCTACTAATTTTGTTCAGCGAATTCCAGTATTGCTACCACTCTTACTCACAACCTACCCACTACTATTACTACCAACCTTTTAGTTCCGATGGCATCGATTTCATCAATGAAAACAATGGACGGTGCGTGCTCCTCAGCTACCCTGAATAACTCCCTGACCAGCTTGGGACCATCACCCTAAATAGTCAGAATTAAAAAACAACCAGCCGAATTCAAAAGTGATATTCCAACATGCAAATTCTGAGACATGCAAGCACATACGCTCAGCATTTTGCAAACAATCAAAAAGAAGTAGTGGCTTTTGCTGTCAGCAAGTGTTTTCAATTTTACAATTCATTTAACATAGTAACTTACTTGTAATACAATCAGGTCTTCCAGGTGCAAGATATTTATTTAAATAGGAACATTTCCCATGTACATGTGCCTAGGCAAGAATTTGGAGAGGCCATTTCCGCAGGGCACCATTGGAAAACAGTCAAGAAACACGTGCTAGATGCTATTCCTTATGTGCAGGGGCATGGCTATTTTTATGATTTTTTTTTGGCAAGTGAAACTTACAAATGTACATTGGAATGTTTTGTGTGAATAAAAATGAGTGTGGAGGATTGAGGAGGGTTTGGGTTAATGAGGCTTCTTAATGCATTTGTATTTGTATAGTACTACAAGTGATCGACATCAGGAAAGTATGCAAAGGATTTCAACTGCAAATTTGAGTAGGGATGGCTCTTGTTGAATGTAGCTTTCTACAGCACTTACAAGGTACTTTTGGATCAGCTCGGAGCCGACGACTCGAAGGAAGGTTGCCGATGTCTGATTGGCTACTGCCTTGGCCAGCAGAGTCTTACCTGTAATCAACGAAGCGATTGGAAGATGTAGTTTATTGAAATGAATTAGGAAAAGCCCACTCAAATCTTGGATGTTTTTATTTCCTTCTGGATATTTAGTTGTCTTTTTAAGACAGGTGTTGAATTAAAAAACTAACAAATTTGCACTTTAAATTGAACACAAAATGACTACATATGTATAACAGAACGGTTTATGCAAATTAATTGTCAAGTCAATTAACTTGCAAATGGAATAAAGATAAACATTATAATGCAGTTCATACAGATGCACATTTGAATTGGTCAAATGGGAATTCAAATGGAGTATTTGACATATTTTTGATCAACAGAATAAAATAAAACCACTGGACTGACCAAATAAAAAATTCCCTGGACTCGGTCATGCGCCACAGTGGGTATTTCAAGGTGTTTGTTCATTCTGTTGCAGGGTGTGTTAAAAATGGGATATTGGGTTTTGCCCTTCTCTGGCGTAAGTGAGGCGTTTAACAAAATGAGTTGGAACTGACACAGGCCATTGAGGTAAAAAAAAAATGCAAAAAAAACCCCCTGAATTTGGCGATTTGTTTTTTCGATTTTCAGATTTAGTGCTATTTGTAATCTGTGACGTCTACTGCACATATTTTTAAGAAATAGTACAAAAATCCTGAAAGAAGCGTTTTTAAGGATAAACAATTGGCATCTTTAATGTTCACAACTATAAAACTGGAAACTTTAAAGGCCTTTTTCTCATTATTTCACTTTTTTTGACATGTCGATAAATGCAAACTTTAAACAGCCATAACTTGTCTATAGAATGTCCAATTGAAGGGCAACAAACAGTATTGTAAGGAATATTTTATTCTCAAACACCCCTATTTTGACCTCTGCCCAGTTCTCACATATTATATAACACGGTATGCTTAGTGTTTTCCGAGGGGTTCATGAGAAAACAAATCACAAGCATACTTGGATGGGACTCGAACCCACAACCTCCTGCTTACTAGTACAGACGTCTTACCATCTTTTATGAAATACGCCTGAAAAGGGCAATACCCCCTTTTGAAATTGCACCTCCGGGATGCAAATTCCATCATTTAAATACTCTGTAGGGTTGACTCACCAGTTCCAGGTGCACCATACAGAATGACTCCCTTGGGTGGTTTGATGCCCATCTCTTCGTAGTATTCTGGATGGGTCAGGGGCAGCTCAACAGATTCCTGTATCCGGTATCATATGGAAGATACAATGAATGGAAGTTTCTACATCCTAAACATGATAGCAAGAATGTCACCCATGTTCACACACATCATTTCAGCTACACCAAATCTGAATATTAAGAACGTTGTACTGATTTTCTACCACTTCTTTGTGATTTCAGTCAATACCTTTCAGATGAACGTTTTTTGAGTGAATAGTTATAAGATGGAATTTTGCGTCGGGGTGATATAAATCAAATTAAGTTTTGCCCATCACAGACGTTTAAACACTGTATACTCAGTGTGTTACCTCCCGAGTGAAAGTTGGAAAAAATCACTCGGGTGGGACTCGAACCCACGACCTCCTGCTTTCTAGTGCAGATGTCTTACCACTCGACCACCGAGCTAACGGGATCGGTTGGCTGGTTCGAATCTGATGTGCATAGCAGCGGGTACCGCATAAACTATTATAAGATGGAATTTTGCGTCGGGGTGATATAAATCAAATTAGTGAATAGTTATTAAAGGTTGCATACCCCGTGCTCTTCAAAAAATGGATATTTCGTTTTCTCCCAACAACTTTTCAATTTGTATGTCTTGTTTTAACGAAACACTACTTTATTCTGATTTTGGGCGTCTGCAAACCTCTGAAAAAGGGCTTTCATTCTGCCCACAAATAACCCGCCCTGCGAGAGCCAAATTATTGTCTGGCAGCCAATAATTCAAATTTTGTAAAGAAATCATTCAACAACTATTAAACTGTCAGTGGATTTTTTCCCGTTCCGTGTCTCATGCAAAACTGAATAACTTTTACATTGCCAGGAAAATAGCAAATGCAAAAAAACCCCCAAAAATCAAATTTTCAACGTGAAACTCAAACATAGCACAGGGAATGCATTTTGAACAAAGCAGTTGGATTGAAGATATGAATCTCCATGGTAGAAAAAGCTCTCCATTCTTTGTTGGCGATGCCACAAACCTTAATTTCCTGAATTTGTTGATCTAGACCACCGATGTCAGCATAGGATTCTTGAGGAGCCTTCTCCAGTTTCATGACAGACACCATGGGATCGGTGTCATCACTCAGTACGCCGACAATCGCAAGAACCTGAAAATATCGTGAGAACAACCGCAAATAATTGAAAGACTCGTAAGACATGACAATTCACGTAAATTTGTGTGGTTTTGCCGTCTCAATTATTAGGCTTACTTACATCCACTTACAGTCCGAGTTGCAGTCATATCAATCACAAGTCAAATAATAAGTCATATAGTGACATTACACATGTAGGTCACAACAGGGGTGAGATTGGAAGAGAAAGAAAAATTCAATGAAATAATCGGCAGAGGGTTTTGAGAGTCACCGAGGACCCCAGAGTAACATAGGGTCTATGCACCCCTAAAACACCGATTTCTGTAATTCTATTTTAAACTCTTATAGGTAAAAACTCCTTCACTGTAAAAATATGGAATTTCAGCTTTGAAAAAGGGTTATTTAAAAATCCTGAAATTTAGGAAACCTCCTGAAAATAAAATCCCGACAAAAAATCCTCAAAATCAGGAAAAAATACTGACAAATATCCTAAAATCAGGAAAAATAGCGACCAAAAAAGTCCTTAAATCAGGAAAAATCCTGACAAATCTCAACCCCGTTACAACAAACAGGGGGTGTAAGATGACTACGGGATGTTAATTGTCATTGTTCATTCTGGCTGGCTGGCTGGCAGACTGGCTTGCACCTTGACTAAGAGGTCTCGTTTCATTCAGCTTCACAAACGAGCATCAGGAACACTGTGCACAGCCACACAAGTGTTTTAAGGCTGTTCAGTTTACAGTACAATCCGTGTCTGTTATTGGTGGAACTTGCCAGTGCCTGGTTCCACTCACAGCTACCATACTCCAAAAATAACCTCCGAATTGACTAGGATTGCAGCGTCCAGCATTTCTGGAAGCGGGTTCAACTAGAAATGAAGTTTCACCCAGCTTACTTTTGCTAACGTCTGACCTAACAAACAAACATCTTATTGGTCTGGTTACGGACCCACCTTGTGATTCAGCAAAACTGTGCATCCCGGCTCCAGCTGGTCCTTGTCGACAAATGACAAGATGCTGACGTAATACTCGGAGCCCACCGAGGCAGAGACGATGGCGTGATTATCGTCAATAATCTCCTCTAGGCTACCTACTGACATGGGCGTTCCCCTCAGGTCATCCACCTTAGAACGCTCTTCCTAAACGGAAATATCACACACAAGCATCAGGAATTAGGAGGGCCCATTCTCACTAGTGGTGTGCATTCCGGGGTGGTACGGGAACTGGCTACCCTATTGCAGTAAATCACGTACAAGAAGCCAAACCCTACATTTCTAATCCCGGAAGATGTCTGAAGGGCTTTGTAAGTTTACGGCGTAAACTACAACCTTTTGTGAGCGTCACTTGTTGCACGTTAAAATCCACATAAAATGGGGAATCTCTTTTGGTTTTCCATGTAGCCTGGTTATCACTTCGAAAATTCTCCACAAATGACATTCAAAAGCTTTCTTTTTCATTGTCTGAGAAGTTACTACATGTAATACATTCGTAAAGTTGGTTACGGGTAGCCGAACCCATAATCTGGAACCGGTTCCTGAAATCAGCGGTCGGGTACTCGGGGTACCCAGTTCCGATGCACGGCCCCATCCTCACTTATTAACCCTGGCCCCTCAGGGAGGGTACGCTCAGGGAGGGTACGCTCAGGGAGGGTATTATGATAAGAAGCCCCGCTACAACACGGAACACTTGTCAAAATGAGAAGCCTACCCAGTGTTACCAGATCTATCAGGTCAAAAAATCTCATGGCCAAACTGCTTAAGAGTCTGTGATCCCAGACTGCAACACGATACAACAGCTGCATCGTGCAATGGGGCTAGCTCTTATTGTCTCAACAAACACAGGTTGGGACATCACAAATTTGCTTTCAGGTTCATGTTCTGCACCAAGTGTCAACCGGCCTAGTGTGCTTTGTACCTCATCTTTCTCCTCTTGCGGCTTGAGGCGCTCCTGGTTGCGGATGAACTCCTCTTCCATCAAGAGGTAGTCCTTGATGCGTTCCAGCTTCAAGAGCTTCAACCGACAGCGAGTGTGTGGGGTTACTGTGAAACGGAAATGGAATGTGAGAAATGTCATAAAAAAGCAGGTTTTGGATCTCAGCATATCGAGGGTTTATAGTTCCAAGCAAGGCACTCCACATGTTCACAACAAAAATCACTGTGTACAGCAAAAATACCTTGAAGTTGAACCCTGTAAAATAAGCAAACTGGAAGCATAGAATTATGTCGTAGCTATGGCAAAGTTTGCATCACTTATGGTTGGCAGAGTTCTGCAATTGGGCTCAAATCATGTCCATTTCAAGGTAACATACATGTATGTAGTAGGCCTATTCCTCTCTTACATCACAATCCTCACCACTCATGGCTACCTTACCCTTGGGCAGTTTATTGGCCGAGTCTGGGCCCTTGGTCTTTCTCCGCCTTTTGCCAACTCTCGTTGGCACAGGAGGTTCATACTTCTTCTTTTTATCCTGAAATAAAACCCCCAAAAGTAATAAAATCACAAACTCAGCAATTGATATTCATTGAGAATACTGAAATACAAGGAGCAAATTCGGGCTAAAAATCCATGTGTACGTATTTCTGTGCACTCTTGATGGACTTGAAAGCTCAAATAGAGAGCATGCAATAGTTTTGCGAGCAGAAAAAATCAAGTCACAAAGAAATTAAGATCCGCTTTGGCAAAGAATACAATTCACAAAACAAACACTGACAAGATTTAACTTTTCAATAAAGTACACAGGGTATGAATATTCAACATTTTATCAACAGAGGCCCTAGTTGTTTTTTTCCAATAAGATTCACATACAAACTGCTTCCTTGTTAGACCAACCATTTGTAGCAAGGATACTTGTGTTTTTCTGAATGAATGTGGGTACCTTACCTTGTCATCTTTCTTGTCACCATGGCCTCCGCCAGGTCCCCCGGACTGGTTTTGACCCTTTAGAAAATCAATTCAAAATAAAAATCATACCCGACTTAAAAAACACTACCTTCAGTTCTGCACCTCTGGTTTAGTAAATCACAGACTTGTATTTGAGTCCTTGAGTCTTGGGACGGGTTCTCATTGTCATGTCTGAGTCAGAGTCCAGTCATCACAAGTCACAAATGTCACGTCAGAGTCCGAGTCACGAGTGACATTTCAAGAAAAAAAACCCTGACATATAGGTAGGCCTAGGCGCGGCCTAACAAAATTCATCAGATGTTCATTGCTGGGTAGAACAAACATGACGAAGGAAGCAGAACCACGGGGTCGTACTAATAAGCATCAACACAGCGTCAACGCGGCGTCAACACATGATAGAAGCGTCAACACATGATAGAAGCGTCAACACACCGTCAACACTGCAAAAACGCATTCTAAATTGACAAAAAAGGATTAGAACTTTAAAGTTTAGACTTAAAGAGATTTTCGGTGGGTCAGAGGTTACATTTCGTTTACGAAAATGGAGTTTTTTTCACGCGAAAAAATGATCCAAAGCAGCACTGCCGTGATCGGCCATCTTGCTTTGCGCCGAGCTTGGACTCCACCATTTCAGATATGGGTGTGGAGGTAATGAAATTATCATGTTGTACACGGGTTCACACGTAACGACCGCCCTCTGTTGATTAATTGTATAATGATATTACCCCCTTTGCGTAATGGTATCGTCTGCGCTGCCCCTGAAGCAACCTGCTGATGGCTGCCGATTTCGGCGCTGCACTTAGAGCTAGTCCGAGTAACTTGGACCCAACTTATCGCCTTTTTAAAAATTTGGACATGGTCTGGCGATAGTAGGGTCCAAGCCCATTCCTCGACCTAGACAACACAGTCACTGACAGTCCCAAAAACCAACATTTTCCAACAAAAAACATCAGATTTCACCTTCAAAACGGCCTCCAAATTACTAGATATGTCACCTGAGGTACAAGTAGACATAGATGATTAAGATGGTTGTACTTAAGTTTACTTACGATCCGGAAAAAAAGTGAAATTTTCCGTTCAATTCTGGAGACCCCCTCTGCCTAGGTTGTCGTTGTTGTGCTCACGTTCAAAACTGCATGATAATGGCGTCTGACCTCGACCTCATGCAAATGTGGTGCGGCGCGCTTGCGCATAATGCACATAATGCAGCATACACACGGCAGATTCCCCTGCGCCGCGCCGACGACTGTTTCCTGATGTAGAGCGCTGTGTAAGTTCGCGGTACGCCTGGCTAGCCAGCGCGACTCCCAGGCGTACCGCGAACTTACACAGCGCTCTACATCAGGAAACAGTCGTCGGCGCGGCGCAGGGGAATCTGCCGTGTATGCATGCAGTGCATTATGCGCAAGCGCACCGCACCACATTTGCATGAGGTCGAGGTCAGACGCCATTATCATGCAGTTTTGAACGTGAGCACAACAACGACAACCTAGGCAGAGGGGGTCTCCAGAATTGAACGGAAAATTTCACTTTTTTTCCGGATCGTAAGTAAACTTAAGTACAACCATCTTAATCATCTATGTCTACTTGTACCTCAGGTGACATATCTAGTAATTTGGAGGCCGTTTTGAAGGTGAAATCTGATGTTTTTTGTTGGAAAATGTTGGTTTTTGGGACTGTCAGTGACTGTGTTGTCTAGGTCGAGGAATGGGCTTGGACCCTACTATCGCCAGACCATGTCCAAATTTTTAAAAAGGCGATAAGTTGGGTCCAAGTTACTCGGACTAACTTAGAGCCAATTTTCTTGAACAGAAAATTACAATTTTCAGACGTTTATCCTATTGTTTTTGAGCCAAAATTTTATTTCTGCCCATACTGTACGGTTTGAACACTGATTTTTTCAATTTCAATGCATTTTGGAGGTGTTGACGCTGTGTTGACGCTTCTGTGTGTGTTGACGCTTATTAGTATGACCGGAACCACGTGGTGGCAGCTGTGTAGGCCTAATCCGAGTAAGGACTCTACGGAACATTTGGATATGGTCATGATGGTCGGGCGACCAAGTCCAAATGTTAAAAAAAGCGATCCGAGTCCTAGTTACTCGATCGGACTAGCAGCTGGGGACATATCTGCAATTGTTAAGAAACTATAATGTAGGCTAATATAAAGTTTATTGTTTCAATTCCCCCCACCCCCCCCCCCCCAAAAAAAATTAGACAACAAAAAACAAAAGAATTCAAAATAAGGTGCTTGATCATGCCTATTATCGAAATTAACACAAATAATTAACTCTGTGAAATACTTGCCATCTTCAAAACTTTTCTGAGAAAGATAGGGAAAGCACAACTGGTCGATTTTACTGCTCGGAACACAATGTGATCGACCGGTTTGTCTTTTTTCTATGTAGCTGTTGCTTCACTATTTCCTATGTACTGCAGTGATAATGCTCCATCATTGTGAGATGATGTAGTAAATATTGTCCACCCAAAGAAAGGGCCGTGGAAAAAAAATAGAAAGATACATTACAACATACTGGCTACTAAATTTAAGAAATCTTTTTATTAATGTTTAAAAGAGGTTGATGCTGAAATGATCAAATTTACAAGTTTTAAAAAATATATGAAAAATAAAGATTGGGAACAATATGTTTTGCAAGATCATTTTTGATATTTCGCCACTAGAGGGCGCCAGAGATATTTGGTGTTATACTAAACCACTTCTACTAAATTGTGAACCAATTTCACAACTAGGAAAAGAACTTATCATAATTTATGCACGTCACGCGAAGCTCGCACCGGTACTATGAATATGTATGAGGCCAGGACAGTAATTGCGCGATTGCATGCATTGCGTGCGGCATTTACACTCGGATTCAACCTCGTCCCCAGTGCTTACTTTATTTCCAACCTAGTTTCCAAGAGTAAACCCTGGATCAACCTCGTTTCCAGGGTGTCGAGCAGTACGCGCCCACCACTACCTGCTCTCTCACCCTGGTATTGGATCATTTGCATGTGCAAGATTTTTGAACACGTATGCAAATTAGGAGTAGTCTGGTGCCTGCCTGTGCGTTACATCTGCGTTTGTTTTTGTATGCGGTGTCTGGGGTAAAAACAGAATCAATTCGTCGCAGCGCGAGCATGGCGTGAGTTACTAAAACATGATTTCATTTTAATTAAACTGTTACGATCTTAACGAGACAACATGCAGTATCACATTTCACATTAATATTAACAAACTGGAAAGGAAATGAATATTTTCGAGAAGGCGTGGACGAATGATCGCGAAAACACGTACTGCACGTTTTGAATGACAACACCAAGTACACGATATAAATCTATTTCTAGCCAATTGCGGTATCGAATCTGGATGCAGGAAGGAAGTTTCCTATCCAGGGTTTACTATTGGAAACAACGTTGGAAATGAAGTAAGCACTTGGGACGAGGTTGAGCCTGGATAGGAAACTTTCTTCCTGCATATCCTGATTCGATACGGCAATTGGCTAGTAATGGATTTTTGTCGTGTACTTGGTGTTGTTATTCACAACGTGCAGTACGTATTTTCGCGATAATTCGTCCACGCCTTCTCGAAAATACTCATTTCCTTCCCAATTTGTTTATATTAATATGAAATGTGATACTACATGTTGTCTCGGTAAGATCGTAACAATTTAATTAAATAAATCGTGTTTTTCGTAACTCACACCATGCTCGTGCTGCGACGAATTGACTCTGCTTTTACCCCAGACACCGCATACAAAAACAAACGCAAACTGTAACGCACAAGCAGGCACCAGACTATTCTTCATTTGCATACGTGTTCAAAAATCTTGCACATGCAAATGATCCAATACCAGGGTGAGAGAGCAGGTAGTGATGGGCGCGTACTGCTCGACACCCTGGGGTCGAGGTTGACTCGGATTTCACCATTGCGAATAATTCCCATTTTAAACTTCTGTATCTGTATCTGTATGCTACTGCACAATCGCCTATGGTGGGGCTATCACATGCAGGTAACGCTGTCATGGTGCAGGTAACGCTGTCACTTCTATGGCACAATGAACAGTGGCGTCACCAGACTTTTCAGTCTGGGGGGGGGGGGGGGCACAGGGGGGGGGGCACCAGCATTTGATGGGGGGGGGGGCACTTAGGTGGATACGGATCGCCGTCCTGGGGGAGGGGTCTAAGGGGAGGGGGTGCCCCCCTCCCCTTTGGAAAATTTTCGCATACGGAGGATGGGCTAGATGCAAAATGGTGCCGCATTTGATGCTAAATATCTCCAGAAATTGCTATTTTTGAGGTAATGATTTTAACAACGCGCAGAATTTTGCAGAGGATAGGGGGGCACCAGCATTTGATGGGGGGGCACTCGGGGGGCACTAGGTTTTCCAGGGGGGGGCACGTGCCCCCCCTGTCCCCCCTTGGCGACGCCACTGACAATGAAATGTTTTCTTGGATATGAAACATGTAGAATATAATATAGTCTACATATTTCACATCGAAGAAAAAATTTACAATGCAACAAAAGTTTAAAATGGGAATTATTCGCGATGAGTGGAATCCGCGGAGTTACGACACTTACAATGTACGTCAGGTCGTAACTCAAATTTGTTGGGCGTGATCGGTCGATCTGCCCGATGATAGTTACACAGCATTTTATTAATGGAATGTGGATCATTCTTTTGTGTTTGCCCTAAGTTACGGCCAACCATAGTGAGGAACGTCCATTTTACGAAGTTGGCATGAAGAACCCGACGACTGTTGAATTCCGATTATGCGCTCGCCGACCAACAAAGTACTGGATGAATTTCAGATTTATATAATGTAAACGCACATTACAAAAAAGGGAGTTCAATTGTCATTATGAAATATATGGGTCTACTCCATGATGGACTTCTCTTATAGCCTCTACAATAAAAAAAAATATAAAAAAAGACGACTGTCAACATTCCACAACCTCTTTAAGAGATTACTTAAGCCACACTTAAATCTGAGCACCCTGCTATTAAGTGGGGCGCTGAGTACTTTGGTATCGAAAGATGTAAGCACCCTTCTTGTCTTCAAAACAATAACTCTTGCTTATGCGCAAAAATCCTTTCGAAAATGACCGTACTGTCAGAATGTCGACGAACAACAATCCTAGTTGTCACACAGTTGGCTTTCCTTCTACAATAATTCCCTATTGACGAGATTTCCCTCGACCCCTATAGAAATTTCAATTTTGTGCCTAAAACTTACCAACCAACGGAAAGAAACTGAATCCGACCACACTTAGGCCAAAAAAAAGTCTCCGCTTTGACTGGAATCCTGCTGCTGCACAATTTTAACGTGATTTTAGATGGGATTTCGATCAAGTATTAGCTTTGCCTCTCTGGACTCCCATATATTTGCACTAAATTTAGTTGGGCACCATTTGCAGTCATCAGCCGACATTTGAAGAAAAAAAAAGTAAAAAAAAAAAAAAGCCGCGTCGCCGCACCACTTTTGGGGCAATTAGCTCCATACCAGAAACCCGAGCCTTTTTTTGGCCTTAGATTAAATAAGTGGGACCCGGCGCTTAGTGAAAATGTTCCGTGAATACTGCTTAAATTGTAAGACAAGTTTCGCATAATTAAGTGGGGTGCTTACTTTTTATGACTCAAGTCGTTTTGTGAATTATTCCTCCATGCTTCACCTTATCCGCGTGGCATTGTAATGTATAATTCACGTTCATGACATTACTGGTATGTAGATAGCTAGTGACGTATGAATATATTATCAGAAGTCACTTTCTTCGGTTGTGGTTGTGTCCCTGCCGCCACCCTGCGCAGGTACGGCCGGCGGCGCGCGGCAGGGTTGTATATTCTTGTAAGTATAAGCCTATAGCCTACATGTATATCGTACAATTGGCTTTTATTGTTTGAATTTAACACCGAACCATAAAGTCTGTGTATTTCTAACGTTTGTGAATTAAAAACAGCCATGAACATCGTGAATGTACGACGTAGGACTCGAGGCCCGTGGCCCGACAGCAAATTTTCTTTTTCCAAACGACATCCGCATACATGGTTGTTTAGCGCCCTCTACGATACTTTTTTTTGATACGCACGCAGGTATATTATAGGCCTAATTATTTGTTTTCCCAATTTTTAGCAAGCAGTGTGACAATTCAGTGATTTTGCACCACAAGGTTGCGGGTTTGAATCTCGGTTTTGCACCCGAATTTTTTTCCTTTCTAACCTGAGGCTTTGCCTTTGGAGGATTTTTTTTTAAAAGGGAAATAGGCCCTAAAGTCCAAATTTCATAACTTTCAAATTAACTTTTCTTTCTAATTTTATATTTTCTTCTCATGTTTTTATAAAAGTCCAAAATGCCATAGCGTATGTCAATGTCGTTTGGGAGAAAAAAATTGCAGGCCCGACACGCGCCTTCGGATGGCAAAACAAGACCACTTGGGGGGGGGGGGGGCTCTTTTAAGAGTTGTGTTTCCTGAATTTGAAATCTTTACTTTTTTCTCTCACTTTGTATTTGCTATGGAAGCCACATCATGGTCGAGCGTGCATGACGTTCAGAAAAGAATCCTAGTCCTACAGTCATTTCGGACAAACTCCCATTTGCCAATTTCCCTGCCAATTGCAGGTAGTAGAAAGTAGAAGTCTAGGGTTACATAGTTCATTTGATTTTACTTGATAATTAACCAGATAAGTACATATAGCCACTATAGCAAATATCAATAAAAAATACAACAGTAGGGCCCTACAGCTTTCAATTCTTAACATTTCAGGAAAAGGTGGATAAAGGCAGCCTAGGCCAAACAGAAATTATTGTTCTGCTTCCAGTTAACTACGTAGTTTGACAGCCCCTGCCCTAATATTTTTTAAAGAAAAATGAGGAAAACCCCTCGAAAACCATCAATTACTACCTTTTATCCTTTACTACACGCAGACACCTCCATATATATGATCGTAAACACACAAAAATGCAAACAAAAAATGAAAAGAAATTCCATACAGGACCTAAGCTTCACTACATGTATTTTCAAATGTTTGGCCTTATCATCTGGGTAGTCTGGGTCATGTTTATGTGACTAACCTGATGGATCTTGTTACTCTAGGCAGGTTCTTATTTTGACAAGTGTTGCATGTTCTTCCTATTGTTCATTTCAGATTGGAACAATGACTGTTCGAGCCTCTAACAGTATGTGCAGTATACTACAGCGCACCTGGCACGTCCATTACTGCCGGGGCACAATGACATCCAGCACACCATATTGTCGGTTACACAAGTTCCTGAGTGCAAACAGTCGCCAAGTTTTGCCCAGAAGTTCCAGCATGCTGCACATGTGCTCCCAACATCAATTGCAAAAAACTTCTACTACCTGCTGGTCGGAAAGAACAATCGTCCGACAAAGATCATGTTTTTCAAGACAGCAGTTTCACATGCCACAAAACTTTCAGATATGCAATTCAAGTTCACCAAAGATTCAACGGGTAGCCTGGATGCCAGTTGTTCTACCACTGCGCTCCATGCATCCCCCTGGTCCGGGCCAAGAGAGGATTATGAATGTGTTTGACCGCCGAGCTAAGCGGAGGCAGAAGGACAGGGCGGCATTAGCCAAGGATGCCCATGTGTATGACTACCTGAAAGATGAGGTCAGAATGCAGGCGTTTGGGTCGGACACTGGTTGCATTTGTTTGTGTTCTACATGTATCTTTGCAATCCCAAGTAAATGGTAAAGAGACATTTTGTGGCCTTTGGTGCACAGGGCGGTCGCTAGCGAATACCCAAGAATGTTGTAATCTGTGCATCTAATTTAAAATATCTAGACTAATTTGGTGACCGCCATTTTCTGAGGGGGCACCAGTCTCCATGAGTCACGCTCAGGTAGTGCGCACACAGTCTGGGCTCCTTCGACTAATATGGCTAACAAAATGCGCCTGTGGCTCGTCTTTGAGAATGAATGCGGAAGTGGTTCCACTTTCACCTCAAAATGGCTTCTAATCTAATAGTAATGTTCTTTTAACTTTTTTAGAAGACTGCACTTGACATTTGCACAGTAGCGTGAGAGTCTTCACAGAATAAATTGGGGATGTGCATTGGGCACAATTACCTTGCAATATCATCTTATGTCTTAAGTGATCATTTATCAAATGTTGACTGAGCAAGTAATGCAGTGAGGAAAAACGTTCCGTTTTACCAGTTTACTGGAATTCGCCGAACAAACACAAAATTAGAAGCCATATTTGCATGAGAGGCCACGCTCACGCGCATGCCGCACCCGTTCTTAAAAACGGGGGCGTGTGCATCTTGGTAACCCTATTGATCGAAGGAGCGTTATTCACTGTCGCTGAATTAGTGGATTTTAACTCGGCCAATGATGAGTTGATAGAAGAGCTCACCATCATAGCTCGTTGTTTTTATTCTGTCAAATTAAGGCAATTAATTTCATATATGGCGTGTTGAGATGTGTAAAGTCATTAGATTCCTTTTTTTGATATCCCAAAAATGAATTTTGTAAAAATATGATCCTAAAGATTGTTTGCACTGCAGCCATCTTTGAGCTTACCCGGATCGACTCGGGTTAGTCCCATGCTGTTTGATTTAGCTCTGACGTCATTTACGGGGCTCACCCGGGTCAGCCACCACAGACCCTGCTCGTGGAGCAGAGTCAGTGAAAATAAGTCACACGCATGCGTTGTTCATTCCTAGAAACGGACAAATATGGCGGCCGGACAGCGGAAATCTGAAGTGGACCCAAAAATCGAGTATATTTGAAGTCTAAAGGTACTTATTTATTGAGTTCCTTGCGACTTCTGAGGCTACAATTCCAGCCCAACTTTTTAAAGTTTTGCCATTGACTGAAAAACAGTAAATCCCAAACTAAGACCCAGTCCGAAACAGGCATTTTGTCAGTGGCTACGGCCATGACTAAGGAAGTCACTTGAGGATCGTGATGGCCCGTGGTTGAGCGTTCGATTAGCCCGGCTATCGTGGCTAACCTGTCTGCCTTTGCCCGAGTCGATCCAGGTGAGCTACTCCAACGCACCCATAAGAAAACACACCTCCAAGATGGCTGCTGAATTCAATCGATATATTTGCAGAGACATCCACATTTTGTAGAAAAATTAATTTCTCTAAGTATCACTAATTAATCATTGAATTCAAAGGCCATTTTAAGTTGCATTTTGCAGAGTTCTAACCAAGTCCTGGCAGTTCATCACAAGTCAAACTCAAGACATCCAGTTTCAATTAAGTGACAAAATATAACAGTGAACCTTGAGGAAAGCATTCCTTTGTCATTGTTCATCAACTTTTACTTACATGTACCGGTACATGTAGGGCCTAAGGCATGTTCCAAACGACGTGCCACTGCTGTGCCGAACTAAATTGAATTGAGTTCTGCAGTGGCTTGGCTATAGCACGACAGTTGCTCTAAAACGCCAAGCTTAATAGTCATACTAAATGCTAGCGGAGTAGCCTGCCATTGTTAAAATTGTCTGCGCACTTTCTGCGCCATCAAGTATTCGCACCGCGTTTACTGAGCTTGGCATGGCAATGTCATGGTGTTTAAACACTGCCGTTGGGAACGATGAACAAGAATCTGTCGAGCCAAAGTATGGTGCCGTGCTGAACTCAATTTGCAGAACCAAATGGTTGTAAGTGCCATACTATTGCCGTGCCAAATTTAAAAGGGTTACATTTATTGAGTTTGCACGTCAGTAGGGCCAAGTGTTTATAACACGCCTAACTTGTGATTTGACCTGTAAGTGTCCTGACTACATCTCTGGGGTTTTTCTCTTCCTTTGTTGTTACAGGTAGCTTTTCGTGTTGCAGACAGAATAAAAGACATAACTAGGTAAGGGAACAATTTTGTACCGAATCAATAAAGTGATGTGGAAATGTTGTTTCACTGTTACTGACTTCTCATCAAAAATATTGTACTCGTCACCAAAATCAAAATGTTCACATTCAAGTTTTTCATTTTCATGAAAAACAAAGTGCCTTTAATTATTGTGGGCATGTGTAACCCTCTGGAAAAAGCTTTTGGTTTGGCTTGTTGGTAAAAACATACGGCCTGAAGTAGACTGGTTCCTGGTCCCAACATTATTGAATCTACAAGGGAGGGGGGGGGGTGGGAACCAATCTGCCACACGAGAATTGAATTCTTGTCTGGCGCAAATTAGGCTGACCCCTCTGGCAACACCACCAATAACTTTTGAAATGTGTTTGTCTTCCAGGAAATTTGATGTTGCCCTAGACCTAGGATGTGGAAGGGGCCATATAGAAAAACGTATTAGTAAGGTACATGTAAATGCATGCATACCGGTATCCATATGTTTCTGTATTGAAATTGAACTAATTGGTTTTGGACAGTTTTAATGTTTTTGGCATTTCATGATTTTTTTATAGCCGAATACAAATAAATTCAATATTTGGTTTTTGCCCTTCATCAATATTTTGTTAAGCACTTGTATATATACTCATAGTGCTGTCCGAAAGTTTGTTAATTAGGAAAATTTTACAGGCGTACATGTATTTGGGTGGGACTCGGACCTATTACACCCTGCTTACTTATTAATGCAGACGTATGCCAACTAAACTACTGCGCTTGCCGGCGTTCAGCTGCCTACATGTAGATCCAATCTGATATACACAAAGTAGAGTTGCAGCCACAATTCAAGTGCAGGAATGGAAGAACCACTAACATAAATCGATTTTTAATTAACTGTGATCTCTGAACCTCCAAAATTGACCCCTACGTAATGGGCTTCGTGCGCCAACAAGAGAGGGCGTTTTTTTTACCCCTTTTGAGAGCCCAGTTGACAGGACACACTGCGTGTGTGTACTGGTTCAGACGCGTATAGCGTAAGTACTCCAACTTATTTTATTCTAAATATGCACAAAGCACAGGTAGTCTTTGCGTGAGCGTCAGGCGTCATCAGCAATGCGTTTGAATCTCTTCCGACAGTCTCCTAAAACTCTCCCTTTCTTGCCGATGAGGGGGTAGTTGTGCACGGAGCCCATAAGTCAGTCTGACAATTGTTACGCTGGCTCATATCAGACTTTAAATGCATGAAATGGCTGTCCGTAAGAATCGGCAATTTTGAGTCTGTGTTCAGACTAGTGCGGGGTAGACATGCATAACCTCATTTATTAATTTATTTAAATCTTAAAAAGAAATTCTTGATTCTTTTTTTTTTTTTACAGAAAGTTGTCAAGAAGCTTTTCATGACAGACCTTTCAAGGAATATGCTGGTAAGATTATCACTGATCTCTTTGCGCGTTAGTTTTGTTTTGTAACTATAGACATCTTGATAAACTTAAAGGTAATTTTTGCTTTTGCTGTAATTTTCAGAAATGGATGGATTTGGAGGTTTTTAGTATTTTATAGCATTGTTACACTGACCTGTTTGAAGTACATGTACATGTAATTGTGTTCGTAGTTATATGCTGGAACAACCAAGAAAAAAATGCTGTTCTTGTAGTCTGGTTTCCTAGCTGACCCTACTTCAGACGAAATTAGGCAATTTATAGATGTCTGGGAATTGTCAGATCAGGGAACCAGACTAGCCGGCTTGCAGCACCCGTTCACAGATGTGTAACCGATTGCAAACAAAATGTGGACTTACTACATTTGGTAAATTGTGGGCATTATTTCAAACAATGACGGTCGGCTGACCATCGTTGGAAATTGATACAAAAAATTACACTTTTCTTGAAAATGACAGCACACCAGGTGCCATGATTTCACAGGATGCTTGGGACTGTTATTCACTTACAGTCCAGTAAGGTATTTCATAATAATCTGGTAGTTTTATTTTTTGATGTTTGTAAATGTTTGTTATCTTTAGAACACAGTGCAGTTTTTCTAATGAGATTGATAACGAGCACACAGAATCACATGGCATGCTCGTAGGAATTCTTTAATTTGAAAAAAAAAGGCTGTTGCAAAGCTGTTTTTAAGGATTTTTCCAGAAAATCGGTTCAGGTTTTTAATGAAAAGTACAGTGTGATTCATACAGCACTGTGTTAGGATTGATCCTGTTGTCTATTGAATTGTTATGGCGCCCTCTCTTGTTGGAAAGAACTATTGGCTACATGTGCGGTTGTGAAATTCCACTAATGATATGCTTTACATGTATGACTTCAATTCTTTATAGCTTAGAATCCAGAGGTTTTTTTGAATGCTGATTGAAAGACTGATCTACTTTTTTTATTGGGGAGTTACATGTAGGTTGGTGTAGCGGTACTTTCCTCGCCTTTCACTACTGTGACCCGGGTTCGAATCCCACCTTGGCCAACATGTGGATTGGGTTTACAAGCCCTACCTGATTCTGTGGGTTTTCCTCAGAATACTCCTCTGGGCTTTTCCTCCCACCTCTAAAACTGTAATTTCTTCACATTCTCTTCTCTTTACTGGGACCCATGGGAGATCAGTGGATTCCACTGAATGGGCTACCCAGTTAAAATAAGAAATAAATAAATTAATAAATTGTTGCGTAGAATTCAGCTTTTTATTTTGTAAATCCTCTTTTGGAGGCAGAGTTGTAACAAGTCACTGATTTTTGTGACTTGAGTCATTTTAAAGAGTGACTCGAGTCGAGTCGAGTCATTAGGTCAAGAAGGTGGAGTCGAGTCACAGTGTGTAGTCGAGTCGAGTTGAGTCGAGCCAAGTATTTAGCTCGAGTCAATTCGAGTCACAAATATTTTAACAATACAATAAATAAACACAAGAGAGAAAGTTATTTTTTTGGCTTTAATAATTTTACATTCTGGCTTGTACTACATGTGGTGACACCACCTTTGACTCTTAAGGAAAATAAAAAAGGGGTGCCGTACATGTAAATCAGTGCAAATATTTTTCAACAAGTTTTGCTTTAAATATTCTTGGGACTCGAGTCTTATCAGCCTTCCTCAAGTCGAGTCGAGTCATTCTGATGAGGGACTCGAGTCGAGTTATTTGCTCGCAGTGACTCGAGTCGAGTCATTTGTTCTTAGGGACTCGAGTCACCAAAAATTGAGACTCGAGTCGGACTCGAGTCATTGACTCGAGTCATTACATCTCTGTTTGAAAGTTTTGCTGAAGTGTAATTTTTGGTAAACACGTCAAATACATCATACATTGTAAAACATATACATAGAGACTGGCATTCGTTGTTAAACAGGCTTATAAAATACAAATACACATCAGGCCCAGTTGCTAGTAAGAAATGTGGTAAGCATGGTAAGCAACAGATCCATACACAGGCCCAGTTGCTAGTAAGAAATGTGGTAAGCATGGTAAGCAACGGATCCAATACACTCTACCGGCAGGTGATTATGTACATGTACATGTGCATGTCCACAAACTGCAAGATTCTGAAACTGAAACATGTATCATGTCACTAGACACTCATCATGTAAAACAGTGAATGAACAGCAATAATATTTAAAGAATTACATGTATAGCTTCATGTAGTGAGTTGCGCCTCAAGCATGCCAAGTAGGAGCTAATGACGCTAGGAGATGAGGCCTGACTGGGGTTCTCCAGCTGGAGTTACAATTATTATACTTTCATCACAAGACAAAGACCAGTTGACGCAGTTTAAGTGGCCCTAAAGCTCAGGCTCCCCCTTGTCCTATTGGCAACTCAGAAAAACGATTTTTCACGAGGCAATCTTGTCATCGAATGAGTTGAGACAGAGCAGTTTTCTGAGAGCACGCACTGTATGCCAGTTTACATGCACAGTGAGCATACGCTCGAAAAAATTGACAATTATACTTCCTCGATTATGAATTTAATGTTGGCCTACTAAAATGGCACAATAAATACTTGACCAAAGGTTTTAATTAATACTTTGTGGATTTCAAAATATAAGCCTTCTCATACATTTACAAAATTACGTAATTACTAAATTATTAATGAGCCTCATAACTCAAATCTAAGCTTGAATTACTACGCTTCAACTTGTTTACGGTCTCTGTAAATAGTGCCCTCTTTTGACCAAAAAGTAATTTGCTTACGTACATGTATCAATGTATTTCACTTCCAAACCTGCCCTGTCACATTGCTAACACAATTTTTTTAACGGGCAGTACTCAGAAAATTACTATCCATTTGCATCTCAATTAGGCTTTGGCAATTCCTTGAAAAGTGATGTAAAGATACATCGTTGAAACCATTGGCGGTCGTTAATGGCTTCCCCCAACTTAGTCTTGGAATCCAGCCAAGCAACAGATAGCTAGAGTCTCCACATATCTTTTATCGCCTTCCTCCAGGGAAGGACTAGTCTGCCGTCATTGCCAAATTCAATTAGGGAAATCTCCATGGCAGCAAAAGCGGGGATAATGCCTTCCGAATCGGCCTCAAAATCTGTCATTGTTACTGATCTTCCCTTCAGAGTAACGTTCACTTACAAGCAAAGCTTCCTTCTCTTTCCCCCGAAGCAGTTGCTTCAGCTGGGTGTGTGCTGGTAATTTGTCTATAATTCTATCTTGCACTTAAAGGTACAAAAAAGAGGCAAAAATTTACCGAGGCGAGGGTCCATCATCCTTAGGGACATCAGATGCGATTCGACAGGAAGAGGAGAGAAAGATTGTGAGCCAGTTTTTGTCGGTCAGCCAGGCACATAGAAAAAAAACGGGGGCACTGTGGCTAATTGTTGAAATCGGGGAAAAGGCTTCCAGATTCCAAAGCTTGCCGGAAATCACTGGATAATTGGAGTGGGTATTCAGTCCTGGCCTTGCCTGCAAAGATTTAATCAATTTTGACTATGACTAACACATTTCTTTGTGGCTGTATCCTTTGTCTGTCTTTAGGAGAGAAAATAAATGGAAAGTGAAATCTAATCTGAATCAAGGATTCCTGTTGTTGCTCAATTTAAACTTAGTGCATCGTTCTTCTGAAAATATTGCTGTACGCGCAGCGAAGACAAGCCGATTTCTAACGCCATGCCCTTTGGTACATTTCACTGCCCAAGTTACCATGGCAGCGTCTGGCTATATGAACAGCTGTTTCCGTGATATTGCCCGCCGGATATTTCGGCTGGGATTTGATTATTGGCTGAATACCCCCCGGAATAAAAAGTCCAGTCGGTTTTGTACGAATCGCTATTTGTTTTTCTTTTGTGAATCGGGCAAAAAAGGTGATTGCTGTATTTCTCCTTGGTGGCCGTGCATCTATTTTAAGCCCAGCCTCTTTAACCCCCTCAATCTCATTTGTATTTGAGGCGATGTGCCAGAGTATGTAGGTTAGGAGACGTGCAAGTTGTGCATTTTGATCAAGACTTCAGTATAAACACTGCAGGTTCACTCGACGCACTCGGACCCTAATACATGCGTTGCAGTGGGATGATTCCAAGCACTCAGCTAGTCCATGCACATATCTAACATCACCACCACGGATTCACTCCGGTTAAGACTAAATTCAAGCCCTTCTTTCTTTTCCTTCTTTTGAAAGAAGCTTTCCTCGTTTTTTAGGGGGAGCCATATTGCATCAACAACGGGGTGAGAGATCTTGACATGTGGAACACCGCTCTGGCTGAGTGGTGCTCCACATGCACTGAATTCCATATTGAAGTAGGGGCGGCATTCAATGAGAGGACAAATTGACTTGTACCTGCCTGGTTGTTTGAGACATGCCGATGCCAATAGTACACGTACATTAAGCCAACTACGATCATGTGAACACATAAAGGATTTCTGGATGACTACATTCCCTTGGGTTTCTGTCATTCAGAGAAGAGCTTTAAAGGGTCCGTGCGATGAAGTTTTCTTATTTTTTAGGAACACATTTTGTGCAACTTTCTACTCCTCTTCAACATGTTAAATGTATGAAAACAAAAAGTTACATTTCATGGACCCTTTAACATTGCAGTGCCTTGTAGAAAGGCATTTTCTACTACCCTTGTTGGCATTTTAAGTCCAACTTCAGTGGGTTTTCTTTGTTTCTACACCTCATAAATATTCATGATCAAATTGGAACATGTCATTGGCCGATTCCGCCGCGTGTCTGAGAAGTAAAAATAATACGCGCCCAGATGACGTCATCCCGGTGAGTATCCAGCTCGCTGCTGTGCGTTTTTTTTTCTCAGGTACCGGTAGCACCAAAAACTCCCTCTGGAACCCGCCTCTTACATGTGTAGTCTGTCACCTGTGGCACGTAATCTTTACAAAACCAGGTGGTTGTTGAAGTTCTTGTACATGTAACTACTGCAGTAACTTTAGACACATTAAAGAGTGTTGGCACCAGACTATTTCATGGACTGACGAAGAACTTGAATATCTTGTGCTGAATAAAGATACAAAATCTACGAAGGCCGTTATCGACAAGGCAGTGAGCAGTAATTCCCACTACTTTTTCTCAAACCATGTTGTATTTGTACATGTATGTGCTGTACATGTAGGTATACAATATGAAGGCTGTTATTGCTTTCTTCTGATTGGCTGATTTCTGTCTTTTCTTTTACAAAGTTGTAAGTTTGACAAAGCTAAGATATATTGATGACCAGACCAAAATAAAGCAGGTGACTGTTTTTAACAGTTGAGTGCTCCCTGCCTTCATACATGTCATAAAGTAGGATTGACCGGCTATGATTGTTATGAAACCTGATAAAGCTATGTACATACATTTACATATGTACATGTACGTATGCTTTGACTGTAAGAGATTGATAAGACAGCTGTGCCTACTAGTCACCTGCTTTTGTCCGTTGATGGAATTTGACTGTCACAGTGCCTACAAGAAATATGATCGGACTGTTGGTGACTAGCATGTGTAAAAGGCATGGCAGGGGAAGAGGATTGACTTTCTGACTGTCTGTGACTGCTCAAACAAAAGGAGGGTTAATACCCGATAGATGTTTAATAGCTTCAGGGATTTACTAGTATATGAGCCCATTAACAAATTGATTATCAAACCTTCACGTAACGTATGCAAATAATGTAAAAAAAACCGTGTTTTTCATTTTTAAGTTGTTTAAAAATAGATCATTTTTAATACTGAACATGTACCGGTACGGTATACACACACATAGAAAATTAATAGTTAATGTGGAGCAGTGCTCACCGGATAAGATTTTTTGGACAGTATTCAGTCAAAGATAAAACCTTTTAAACAACAGATGGGGAAAGAGGTGGAAGAGAACAATACAAAAACAAAACCATCAGAGCCTTTTACAGGTAAATATTTACACGTGTAAAGTTGCCGGTCAGTTTTGTGACTTAAACATAATTTGCCAACATACAAATATTTGTTTTGACAATGAACTTGTAAAGAGCTTGTAAATGTGCTGGTCATTATAATGTGATAAAACTAAGCTATTCAACATTTAGCATGGTAGCAATTTCGTGTGCAGTACATTGTCTATTTTGTGGACAAAATTATGAAACTGTGTTTGTGTTTGAAAGTCCATACTTGAAAAAAACAAGAGCAACATGAATGATTCTTTGACTAAAAGAAGCTTATTAATGGGGCTTTCATATCCTAGATCTGGAAAGCCCTACATGCAGAACTTATTTACAAACCTGCAACCTAGGGGGCACCATTTGGGTTAACTTTTTTTTTTGCTCACCCTGTACTGCGGGTACGTGCTTGAGTTGAAATTTGACAAGATAAGCAGTTTTGAATTCTATACTTTCTTAGAAGAAATGGTCCATTTGTCATTCATTGTTTGTTCTGTAGCATATGGGTACAAATTGTTCGTACATGTACATCAGAGTAGGATATTACAGTTTTTGAAGCTTCACAGGGACAGACAAATCTCCCAAGAGGTGTGACATGATGTCTCGCATCCTGTGAATACCAATTTGGGGATTTGTTCATTGCGCTTCGTTAGTTGATGGGATGGGGAATTCACACGCTGGGTCCGCTGTTTGCGCCCTCGCATCAGCACATCGCCTACAATTTTTACGACCAGACTCACAAGCACAAGACGATCGGTCTCTGTGTGTGAGAGGTTAACTGATGTGAGCATGATCGAGTTGCAACTCTCCAGCAATTGCACGGACAATGACCCTCTGGTCTTCTGGTCTTGGTTTGCTGCAATAGCTGTTTCGCTCATACCAGTCCCATGACATTCCGAGCTTAATTAATCTTCTTGAGGATTCTTTGGGAATTCCTACATCCATTGTGTGCTTCGCAGCGCATGTAGCTCTACCGTACAATGCAGTTTTGGCACAACAAAAATTTTAACTTTAAGAGGTTGTGGAATGCTTGAAGACATTTCCGTCATTTTTTGGGTATATGTAGCCTAAGGTGTGATGAAATAAAAACGACTATTGTTTCTGTCATGAAATGAGTACAAAGGTTACTTTTGAGAGTTATTTTTCAGGTCCTGTTTCGACCCGAACGTGCCATTTGTGTAAAAGTCGTTGTTGCGGGCAGCAAACAAAACACACTAAATCGTGACGTAATAAACAGGACTCGTTTATGCTACTCTGCATCAGGAGTCCTGTTTATTACGTCACGATTTACTGTGTTTTGTTTGCTGCCCGCAACGACGACTTTTACACAAATTGCACATTCGGGTCGAAACAGACATGACAGGACTTGAAAAACAGCTCTCAAAAGTACCTTTTGTACTCATTTTATGACAGAAACAATAGTCATTTTTATTTCATCACACCTTAGGCTACATATATACCCGAAAAATGACGGAAATGTCTTCGAGCATTCCACAACCTCTTAATCAAGGCAAAAACAAAAGTTTGACTTCTTGCATCATGTACTTTGTGTGCATTTAAACTGTGTGCTTGCAAATTAAGCAAAGCATAAATATGTAAACTGTTGTACATGTATATTTGATTAACATTTGTACTTGCACTAGATGCATATATATGCACTTTTATGAAAAAAAAATGGAGATTTACATAGAAAATTTTAACTTTGAAATTCTATATGTTTTGGATTTCCACGTTGACAGTATTCCCTTGTTTGTACAGTTCTTTAAACATTTTAAAAACAATTATTTATGGCCACTTTCTGTACATGTATGTGTACATGTATGTGCACCTGTAGCCAACACAAGGTCTTTTTTCTTCAGCAGTCAACCATTTGTGAGGAATACTGCCCACAGCAAGATTGTGTCACATACACATGACAAAACGCACATCATTTTTTCCTACTCCACCGCATCTTTTGATTAAACCCTTTGGCAGAAAAATGTTCAGTGCCTGTTTCACTGTGTCTGTCCCAATGCATTACATCCATCATGGCAGAACTATGTTCTGCACGGTATACAGGGTGAGTAAAAAAAACCAAAACCCAAATGTCGGGACCATTGTTTTAGTGAAGTGCTGCATGTAGCACTTTCAAAATCTAGGATATGAAAGCCCAATTCATAAGCTTTCTTTTAGTATAAGAATCATTCACATCACTCATGTACTTTTTAAGTTACGGAGTCTTAACTGCTTAAACTCAACCACCGTTTTAAAGTTCTGTCCACAGATCACTAAAAAGGTGTGCTTTCTTTCAGCAAAACCAAGCAATTCACACACATCCGCGAGTGATTTGTTTTCATTTTGCTGAAAGAACACTCAACTTTTTTGTGATCCGTGGACAGAACCTTAAAACGGCGGTTGAGTTAAAAATTTCGTAACTTGGAATACATGAGTGATTTGAATGATTCTTGTACTTAAAGAAAGCTTATGAATTGGACTTTCATATCCTAGATTTTGAAAGTGCTAAATGGAGAAGTTCACTGAAACAATGGTCCCGACATTTGGGTTTCGTTTTTTTTACTCGCCCTGTACATGTACTAGTTTATAATGAGAACTGTTCAAATAACATTCAGGCTTGCATCTCAAAGGACAATTTGTCAAACTGCCAACGAAATTAATCTTGTTTGATAAAAGGTTGTTTTTTTTGTTTTTGGTTTTTTTTGTACGGTGTGGCTTTCTATCAGGAGTCAGCCACTGTAGCCGACGGCATTGAATGCATCAAGATCCACGCAGACGAAGAGTTTCTGCCTTTCCGTGACGACTCCTTGGATCTTGTCGTTAGCAGTCTGAGGTGAGATGACTTTGTCTTGGCCTCCTCTCAGGGACCTCGCTTTACTAGATCCCCCTCATAATAACAACCCTCTAATGAGTACTGTGTTCAAGGATATGACCTTCTTTTGTTTGACATGATTATTAGCCTGAGGGTTATTAATGCTTGGAATCATTTGAGGGGATCATGTATCCCAATCAGACATTCTTTCCTGAGCATGACAGATACATGGGAATTCCTATTTTAATCTCTCAATCAGGAGCAATGTCACTGACATGTCAAAAGTGTATCCCAAGGCAAGAACGTTATCCAGAAATACACATACACACATGTTCAGGGTGTATCATAAAAAAAGGAAACCCAGATGTAAATTTGTAAATTTTAAAAAAAATGTAATAAATATTTTCAAATAAGTTAAAGATCATGTTAGACACCAATGTGTCCTCTTTCCAATGAGTCATCGATTGTGTGTCTGTGACCACGGATGACTTTCATTGTTATTCTTTCAATGGTCAAAACCTGTCTTGAGCCAAGCTTTACCTGGCTAAGATTGCTGGCTGGTTTGTTATGCAAAGGTTCAAATGGAATAAGTTTAAAATGGACATGCAGAGCTTTGTATGGAAAGAGGTGGTGACTAGGTTGAAGGCATTGGGCCATGAGGGGTTAACTTCATCAGTGAGAGTGGTTAAATCACTGTTTCAAAATTGAATATATTGTTTCACAGAAAAGGATGTCTTCTTTCTTTAAATTTAGCTGTTCCACATGCCCAGAATACCAGTTAACCTTTTGGACAAACTTGGCCCAGTGCTTCACAAAAAAAGTAACCAAAAAAATTTGCCAGGATTCAAAATGCTGGATTTCAAAAATTAATTCACATTAACAAAACAAGGAAAGAGACATCATATACATGTAGACACTGTGCTTTCACCGAAATGTTAAAAACATAAAAGTTGTGGTTTTAATTAAAAGCTTTCAATGAACATTTTATTCACACCATCAGTCATGTCAGTACTTGCCTGTTTTTTGTTCATCTTCATATATCATACTAGACTGATTGAGCCCCATTTGTAGCGTGATGTTCAGAGATATTCCCAAGATTAGTGCGATTAAGGTGACACTTCTTGTCACGCATCCCTCATATATGCTGGGATGAAAGCTACACGTGCCGGCAATTCCCCAGGAATACCAGATGAATTGTGGCATGCAGTGGTTGATTAAAAAATATAACACGATCCACAACCTGCACAGCTACATGTACCGGTACATGTACATTTTGTAAATTAGGACAGGTTTTTTGTGTCAAATATGATCAGTGTAGGTTGTGCAGCTGCAAATGGCCAATTCTTTGGGGAGATACATGTATATAAATCCACTCAGTATAACATATTGTTGTGATAATGTGAAATATATTGTATACCATTATCTCACAGTTATAATTATAGAGTCTATTTCATAGAATTTGTTGCAATTACAAGTCGGCATCAGTTGGATATCAAAGAGTTTTTCCTTTATTGACATGGTTATCCAGTATGCCTATATAACCCCCTTGAGTGACTCCATGTAAAGCATAATCAGTTTACTAGTGCAGTACATACGGTACTCCAACAGGTAATACCCTCACCTCAGACATTTACAATTGTCAAACATGAAATAGGAAAACCGAGCAACCCTTATAAGGTGCTGCATAATGGGTCTCATATTTCTCATATACTTTATTTACCTTTCTTTAATAATAGACATAATAACCAGCGCCTTGAGTACCTAATTGTTGGTAGATACGTGCGCTATATAAGACTCCGTTATTATTTATTATTATTATTATTAAAGAATCAAACGAACATATGGTATGCAGTTGGATTTTGAAAGGTTGGGGTGGTTAGGGTTCAATGTGAGAGTCATTTTTCGTAATCGTTTCGAGAGTTCCCCCAATTAACACTTAAACCCAAATCCATCAAACTTGCCAAAATAGTGGATTTTTTCAACATTTTATCAAAACTGTGTACACTTACATGTACTACCTGGCCTTATCAGCTAAATGTAGTTTTTGAAACACTGTTGGATTTCAGTTGCACTGTCTTTCACTTTTAACTACGTGCACACATATCGGTACATCCCAGAGAAAAGGTCTCATGACTGAGAATTACTCCCCTTTCCGTTCCATTCACGTCTTGAGTGGCACTAATAGTATACCCTCACCTCAGACATTTACAATTGTCAAACATGAATTAGGAAAACCAAGCAAAAGGAAATCTGATGCTGCTACCCCCTTGTCAGATCTTTTTTTTCTTCAATGCTTGCATGTGTTAAGTAGTCTCTGCCTCCAGCTACAAGTTGTCAGTCGTGCCATATACACGGAGTCTTTGTCCATCACCCAGCGTGTCAACTGCCAGATTACGTTTCTTACGAGTTTCGCTCTGAAGAAACACACTTTTGGTTATACCTGTACATTGGGCAATTTAGGAATAAGCCAATTGTGATAACATTAATCATCCAAGTGGCTGGACACTGTTTTTTGTTGACTTAGTGTAGTTTTCCTGTGATAAAGTTGCGTGAGGGGAATTTTGAAATTGATATTTTTTATTTTTTGGACATCTTATCACAACATTGTTTGTACAGAAAAAAAGAGGATGTACCAGTACGTTGCAGCATACGTGTTAGCTTTACAACTGTGGCGTAACACCTCATTGGGACAACATTTCTAATTAAGCCTATAGCTTAACTTCTGGCTATGTAAAAGTTGTTAGCTTGCTGGATACGCAGTCACAGATATATCTAAAAAGTTTAAAGAAGGTGAATTTAATTATATACGGGGACAATTGGACATGTTCTCTTATGATCATAGGTCTCCACTGAAGTGATATCAAAATGTTTCATACTTTATTCTTTATATCATCCAAATAGGCCTACAGTTTATTCTAACAAGGAGGATTATTAGATGAGTTTCCCTTCTTCGTTTTCCAGAAAATGTCTCTTTTTCTTTTTTGTATGAGAGCATGACTTGTTAGACGTTTGGCAATTAACTTTGGTTCAGTATACGGTAACATTGCATAGGCTTACCAAGTAAAATGGATACATTACCGCTGGGTGAGTAACTTGATTTCTCGAGCTCTACTCGCTGTTCTACTCGTGGTTTGTCATCTACCTGAATACTCGTCCTGGTGTAAGTAAAAGCAGTACTTGCGAGTAGCAATTTAGGGTTTAGGGTTCACGGCTTAATACGGCCCCTACCGGTACCAACAGGGAATCACTCCCGCCACCTACATGTCCCAGTATCTCTCCTTAGGATTCCATTTATCCAATTTTTTTTTAAAATATTCAAGTAAATGACTCAAAACTTCGCACAGTAAGGATATATATCTCAGTGCTGAAGAGTGTCACACTACATGTATATGCTTGTAGTTACATGTACTTCCCATTGTATCATTTTTCTACTTTTATGGGAATTTGGAACTACCGTACTCGCGAGTAATTGACTACTCGCGAGTAATTTCTTTGTGAATACCGGTATACTCGAGTAGAAAAATCCACTACTCGCGCAGGCCTAATGTGCATCTTTGAACCTTTGGTCGGTTTCTTTACACATTTCTATTTCACGCTGTACATAAATGTGGAAATGTTCACGGTAACTATTTTTTAAAGGGGCCATTGTCTCTTTCGTATAATTTGAGAAATGGACAACACTTGCAGCACATGCAACACAACAACCCTAACCTTAGTATTCTCACACTAGAGATGGCAACATTGAAAGCAGCAAACTGCATGTAGGCAATTGTGGAAAAAAAATACACAGTGCTGTGGCCATGCAGTCTCTAAAGAAATCACGCAGAAACCAATGCTCGAACCCGGCTGAATGTAAATCCAAACCCAAACGGCCCTGATTATCGGAGAACGCCACCGGGGGGAGACGGAAATTGCTTGACTTTTTGACTTCCCTCACTTTGTCCCTGTGGTAAGCCGATCCGTTCCCATATAGAATCATTTTCCAGCTATACCCCAATTGGGTCAAGCAGTGTATTAACCTAGTATATACACGCTTCTTGTTGCGACGAGCGTATACAGTAGCGTCTAATAGCACCTGAAGACCGCAGGAATCAATTCGGACCAACAAATCGTAATCGTGCCAGGTTCTTAAGAGGGTTTCGTTTTTCGCTCTTTGAAACGGGGCATCCGTCGGCATCAGTCGGGGGAAACAGGTCGGGCTATTAATACTCAAAATATTAACTTTCAGACTGATTGTTGGATTGAAAAGTATCGCCCCATGTGTGTCCTGACCAAAGGTGTCGACTTTCATCCGGTAATTTCCTGCTAAGAGCACCGGGTTTACTGGAGAGCAGACGGAGATTGTTGGGTTCATCCTCTGTATTCATGACGGATGAGCTAGTGATGGATGCTTGTCAGTTGTACAGGATGGTTTCCATACCTGCAGGATATTTCATGGAAACTCAATATAAACACACATTGATTAATGGTGAAACAAGGGAACAAACCTCAAAACAGGAACGCACCTGGATGCAGATTTCCCCAAGAGGATCCTTTCAAGTGAAATCCATCCTCCTCTCTTTCATTTCCTCTTTTTTTTTGGGGGGGGGGGGAGGGGGGTTTACTTTTTGCACCTGAAGGGTAACCTTTCAATTTTTTTCCAACTTACATGTAGTCCTTGATGGTATTACTGTATGCTCGTCTTGCATATGAATTTTTTCCTTGTGGGAATGGCATGACATTAATTCTTTGCATGCAGAAAAACAATACAAGGCGACTCCAAATGGTGACCACTGAAGTGGCAAGCTGATAAACTTTTAAAGCATTTCAACATTAAAGCTGCAATGCAATACATTGTACATTCATTTCATTGTAAAATTGGGAGAAACAATTGTTGCATAAATTTGTCGGTGACTCTGAAGACATTAGTTATAGGAAATGAATAATTTTTTTTTGAAAATTAGACAAGTCCCCCCCCCCACTTTTGAAAGTGGGGCGATATCATATCGTTTGCCCCCCTCCCGCTTTTTTCGTCCCCGAAA